GATGTTCCTCGTATCGACAAAATCAAAGGTAACCAGATCCCCAAAAGCTTTGAGCTTTCTCTTGAACGCTCCTCGATGCGTCTTGAAGTGTTTCATCTTTGCTCTGATGCATGACTCACAGTAGGGATTCTTGTAACGGTGTGTGAGTAGATGTTCGATTTTCCTGGCATCTGCTTTCAGAGTTCCTCTTCTCACCATTCTGCTTGCACCGTCAACAATATCCACCTCGATGTCATCTGCATCATCATCGTCAGCTTCTGGTTCACTGTCTCCGGCGACATCTGATCCTACCTCATCTTCTTCTCCAGGAGATGCCTTGAACTTCTTATTCCTCTTTCGTCTTTTGACTTTTGGAGGCTCAATCACAGGGAGGTCGTCATCATCACACATGACGCCTTGAGGATCCACATCACAGTTGATGAAAGCCGATTGGTAATCAGCTTCACCTTCTCCTAGGGTGAACCTTGCGATCATCTCCGCCCTTACATCGTCGGTGGGGTTACAGAAGTCACTGCCCTTGACAATATATGGGATGTTTCCCTCTACTTCTAACATGATTTTCTTGTAGTTCGGGGAAACCATGTACGGGTTGCCGCAGGCTGGCCATATGAATGTGTAACCTTCCTCCATGCATTTCTTTCCAACAGACAGTACTGAAGGAGACTCATCTAGGACGAATGGGGAGTAGGTAGAGTCAAATTCGTCGAAATGAATGTCGGCGACTCCTTTTGTGGATGTCACTCCATTTGCAGTATAGAATGACATTGATTGGTCGCTTTCTCTCACTTCCAGACCTAATTTCTTGGCTCTGCCTTTCGATATCAAATCATACCCACATCCTGTGTCCATGATGAACTTCGTTCTTGACCCTTTGGCTGGAATAGACAATGTCTTTGTGTCTGCATGATCTTTCTTTCCCTCGCATACATGAGGAATGACTTTATGATGGAAAACTAGGCCGTCATCTTCGTCAAAAGACATAGTGACCGATAGGTCACCCTTCGGTCCAACTGGTATTCGGACCCTCTTGATCTCAGTGTAGGGGACCATCAATATGCCTCTCGCCTCTGCGACCTTTTCTTCAAATCTGATTTGTTCTTTCCTCGTGTAGCAGGTGAGCTCTTTCTCATCGTATCGTTTGATGTCCGGACGTAGAGGTTTCTTTTCTACTACCTTCCATTTGTCCCTAACTGAGTAGATCGCTTCGTTCAACATGATCTCACAAGTCTCTTCATCAAAGGATACTTTTGCACCTCCTTCTCTTGCCTTGGCGGATGCAGCAATCCCTTCATCTTCGGATTCGTCCATGAAGAGTTCACCGTCAATGGCTGGGGCTCCAGGCTTCGCCTTAGGCTTCGGTTTGGGTTTTGCCTTGGGCTTTGGCCTATCGTCTCCTGAGTCAGCTGGTGCAGATATCCCTTTCTTAGGAGAGGCTTTTGGGTCATGGTAGAACTTGCAATCCTTCCCTTTGTCACAAGTTCCTCGAATCCACATCCAACATACTGGCTTGTCATTCTTTCCGACAGAAGATCCTCTGGATGGTGATCTGGGTTTCTTGTGACTGAATGGGCAATCTTTCCCCATAGTGCAGTTACCTTTCACGAAGTATTTGCATGGTATCTTCTTCTTGTCTGTACTCGGACTTCGGCTGCGATCCTTTCCATCACCTTTACCTTTCCCCTTTCCCTTTTTGTTCTTGTCTTCAGGATGCTTCTTGGGATTGGGTTTCGGCTTCACTGCAGCAGCGTCTTCTGAGACAACCTGTTCTTGTTGCCCTTTTGGTTTCTTCTTCGGATCAGCTGGTGCAGCTTTCAGTTTTGGAGCAGGTCCGCCTGGTTTGAGATTCTGAAAGATATTGGCCACATTCTTCACTGCCTTCTCCTTTTCCAGGATCATCCTGTCTTCAGTTTGCCGTTCGATGTGCCTTCTGATCATATCACGTAGATGTTTGTATGTCTTCTTGGCATCATCGTCGTTCATGCTGTTGTAGGCGCTGATGTCGTATGCCATGAGGTTTGAGTTCCTGATCTTTCTCCATAGGAGATCCCGAAGAGTTTCGTCGCTCGGGACGTCAACGGGCTTCATTCCTGCCAGAATCTCATCCCAAGTGTGGAAGAACAACGATAAGTTCTTGTCTCCTTGATATTCTAGTTGGTAGAGGTGCATTGAAGTATATAAGACTTCCACATTTGATGTTGTCTTGAAATTCATAAGGATCAGGGCTAGGACCTCTCTTCCCTTTATGAGGCTTGATGTTCTCCCTTTTGCATTGATCCTCGTCCTCAACTTCATAGCTACACCTGAACCATCATCTTTCGCATCCATGACGACCTTGGTAAGAGCTAGGCCGAGTTTGGCATCGATTGAATGGAATCTTTGGTCTCCTGAGTCGACAAACTTGTCTGGATCAGGGTCGTCCATGGCTTCTTTGATCCAGTCGATCCAGGGCTCTTGATCTGAATCATTGGCCGCAATGATGATCGATTGAATGAGATTTGCCTTCCATAGTCCAAGATCATTGATCCTGGGCCATGACGGAACGTTTATCTTTGATTCTTCCTTCCTCGATACTTTCATGATTGTAGAGGTTGCCGGTGCAAGATGAGATGAAGAGGATGCTTCTGCTTCTGAAATCTTGTCCCTCAATGATTTGTTCGCCTCGGATAGCTCAATTGATTTCTCCCTTTCCTCGGCGTACTCATTGTGGGTTTCGGCATACCATTCATACATCTCATCTCGGCTCTCTGTCATTTCATTGTACCCGTCCTTGTAGTGCTTCGCCTCCTCTTTTGCGTTCCGAATCTCATCTTCCTCGGACACGTGGGTTGGTAACCCGCGGTCTCTGGAACTAGGACGCTTGCTGTACCGAGAGACTATGGGTGCCATTCGTGCTTCTGCTTTTAATTTCGCATTTTCCATAATGACATTCTTTGTCTCCTTCTGGCTTTCCAATAGTGCATTCTCCAGTTCTCTGATCTTCTGTTGAATTTCAGCACCATCATCGCCGAACATAGGAGCTCTCATCATATTCTCTCTTTTCAGCTGTGCGTTGGCTTCGGATAGAGCGAGGTTGACGTCTTTCAATTGTTGTCGTTCACGGATGGAACCTTCTAGGACTTCGTTGTTGAATATTTCTCCTTTTGCGATAACCTCCTTTGCGACGTTTGCTTCGTATTCATGGTGGCTCGCCTTCATTTCTGCCATTTCTTTGGCAGAGACTTCAGTCTGGCATACAAATATCTCCATCCTCATGCCCACTTCCATCTCTTCTATCTCCGCTCTCGCGTTGAGTTCAGCTCCACGTGCCATAGCTAGTTGACCTCGTAGATGATCAATAACCATAGCTTCCTGATTGCTCCGATCTTGAGATGAGTGAACACTGTGTTGAAGACGTCTTTCCCTGACCTCACTGTTCCATTGTTCTTCTCTCTGGTGTTGGATCACCTCGTGCATGTTGACATTCTCATCCTGTAGCGCAATCATTCTAGCTTGTATCTGGTCAGCTATTCCGACGAAGGCTGTGTTCTCATCCTGAATGGCTTTTGATCTTCTATTGATCGCCAATGAAGATTCATTCTGTTCTTGGATGTGTCCAATTGCTGCTTGAAGCTCTTGGGACATTCTGTCCTTCGTTGCTTTCACAGATTCAAGCTCTGAATGTTCTTGATGAGTTTCTTGTGCAAGCTCTTGATATCTCATGTAGATATGTTCAGCTGTCGATTCCGCCAAGCGTAGCTTGTGTTTGAGCTCTTCAATTCTTATTGTCGCTCCTTCATCTTCCTGTGTCATCTCTTGTAGATGTTCCTGCATCTTCCTGTTGTAGTCAGACATTTGCCTGAACTCCACTTCAGCCTCGTGGTGTAGTCGTGAGTATCCGGCTTGGATGCATTCATATTCTTCATGAAGAAAATTGTATGCGTTTCTCGCCGATCTCAATTCTTCACCCAGCTGAATCTCTCTTCTTTGCTCTTTTGTTCCTCTATCATCGTCACGTCTCTTCTCTAGGCGATGTAGATCTTGTTGTAGCTCTCATCGATCTTCTTGGTCCTACGGGTGCAAGATCGGTCAGATTCCGAGCCGGTGGCACGGATCTTTCCGAGATTTGTGATCCAGTAGGCATAGTGATAACGTCAGCATTTGCTGATGAATCAGTACCCATTGTAGAGTCTGGTGACGAAATGGTGTTGGGACCACCAGGAGCAGCGAATGAATAGGGTTCGCTTCCATTTCCTCCTGAGCTTGACATTGCAGGTTTCTGTAATGACTAGTCTTGTTCTTGATCTCGTGTAGCTCGTACGGCTATAAAGAGCGCGTACGGCTGATAACCTGCGAGTGGATCTTAATCAGCGAAGTTTGAAGCTATCACTGACGGTCCATAAGCGGCGTAGCGTCGGAACGGAAACCGCACCTTTTCTAGTCGCTTGATCCTTGAGCCAAAGTACATATGGTACATATATATGTACAAGTTGCACTGTACATGTCGCTGCACTTCCATTCGCAGAATGAACATTGCACGAATAAAACACCAGAAAAAAACAAACACACCAGAAATATCCAGAAACAAAAAAAACAAGAAGAAGAACAAACACCAACTGAGAAAACACCAACAAAAAACACCACCAGAAGGAAAAAACACAAACAAAGAAACCACCAGAAGAAAAAACACAAACAACCACAACAACAACCACAAGAAAACACAAAAACAACGGAAGAAAACACACCAAAAAAAACAAGTAAGACACCAACAAAAAACACCAGAAGAAACAACCCACAAAAAAAAGAAACATAATAAAACCACACCGCGTTCCAAATTGAGACCAATCACCCGTGTTACAATTCCAATTTGAGACCAATTGCGCGTTCCAAAACGAGGCCGTTCCCCAACCTACTTGGAATGGCCTCCAACCTAATAGCAATGGCCTCCAACGTAAGAGAGATTTGTACTTATCCACCTTATACTTCCAGGCTCACCATGGTCGACACGGGCTACAGCAAGGCACGTTTTGGATCTGCCTCAAGCTCTTTCCGGCCGACTGCACCACCGAGAGGTCTGCACCTTGGGCATCAACTTTCAATATGTAGATCTCCTGGCCTGGCAGCCACACCTCCAGAACCTCAGATATATGAAGATTGGTAGTTGAGGTATGTTGAGATTAACTGCCATGCCTACCACCCCCGCTATTTCACTGCGGTTGGGAGATACATGCAGAATCATGGAGATGTTGATGGATGTTGGTAGATGCACGGTTGACCCATCAATGAATCCCAGCTCACAGGCTGGCAGTAACAAACTGGGTGGCTCATGTTGCGTCCTTCGTCGGCCGAATCGTCTCGGACTCTCTCTTGCACTTGTCGGTGTGGAACGACCAAACTTTAACAAGTATAAAAAACATCTGAGTCTGTGCTCATCTCTGCCACCCAGCCACGTGCTCAAGTGAGATGCACGGCACTCGTCGGGTTTCTAAGCCTGTGGCACAACGTGCCTTGAAATCGAAGTCGTCATCTCGCTCCTGGGATTTGGAGGAAGCCGGAAAAAAGACAAAACATACTCCCCAGAAGGGATTTACCCATGGGGAAAATCACAACATATTCTGATCCGCAAGACCAGGGCTCATGTTTCGAACCTTCATAGTCACCGTCCATCGTTGGAAGAATGGAGCTGCAGCTGTCATGATCCGTGACCGTAAAGGTAGCGAAGGGCGATCCACATCCAATGGCGAAGGGGAATACCAAACCCCTGTCATTCCTTGGGAAAAAATCAAATACATAATCTAGGCAAAATTAAAGATATATGCCTTCAAAAATCAAAACAAACAACATCCGGGCGGGGGATGCATCCCAAAGTGGACTATTTTGTCTTATATACAGTACACTAGATTCTAGATCAAGAACTGCAAAAGGAAGGCAGCAGCAATGCATCCGTTCTTGGCGAGGGCATGACATCAAACAACTCCACATTTGACTGACTTGACTCATCCTCAACAGATACTGTATATAAATCAAATAGGATACGTTATGGACCATATGGATAAGGATAAGTATGGAACAATCCAAAACAAATCGAACCTTGTCTTAGTCATCTACTGGACCATGAAGATGGTGGACCCAGGTGAGGATGGGCTTGAATCACGAGGTAGATGATCTAACATCGGCTAGGAATGGTCTACCCCTCATTTGGGTACCTGCACTGGTCCCAGATTCTTAAGTTTCCCTAAAAATCCAGGAACCAAATCATTATATAGTGTGAGTGCTTCTTCCAGGAAGCTTCCCAGGGCGGCAGGGGGAGTTTCCTTGAAGAAGCGCGAGCTATCCTGCGTCCTGTCGGTAGTAGCTTACTCGCAGCTAGTAGGTACCTCTCCCTCCTAGCGGCCTACATCCACCCTCCGCGGGCTTAAAAAGAAGAAAACAAAACAGCCTCTCGTTTGGGTACTCCCGTCCCAGATTCTGGAAGCCCAGCTTGCGCCGCTGCCCTGGTATGCGGGGCTGAGATCGAGTCAGCAATTCTGCATACTTGTCCAGCAAGGGCTCGAAGGAGAGTACAAAATCTTGATCCCCGAAATCAGGGTAGTGCCTGGGATGCCATTCAAAACATCCCGAAACAACCCTGACCTCAAGAGAAGGAGGGTAGAGTTTGGCACAGCTTCTCCATGTTTCTTCCTCAAACCTCTAATCTCTATCATCCCACCACCAAGCTGCTGTATGTTGTTGTAGTTGTTAGCACCGACCTCAATCCAGAATCGCTTGGGAGCTACCTCCAGGTGCTCGAAATTCTTCCAAAATGGCAGTGAAGCCACCTAGGATATTGCGATGTGCTCGGGGTGTTGGAGAGGTTGCAAAAGTGTTTTGGTATGTGTTGGTTTATATTGGCTTTACATGGCTTTAAAGGGGATTCCTGTTGGTCTGGTCTTTTTTCGAGACTTGCCAGCCAGCTTGGACGCCCCACCATGTTCTTTAAGCTGAGGCAGTTTGATAAGTAGAAAAAAAGCTGGACCCTGTGTTTTCATGTGGCACTAAGCCCCAAATGTATATTTGCCAAGCTGGAGGAATTGACCCAAATCTGCCAGGTGGCTGTCAGTGAAGTTTAGCGGCACACCCTCATATCAGGTGTCGAAGGCATGAAAATACCATGACACTGGATGACACTGGCAGTATCTGGCAGTCATGTTTTTTGAACATTTCTGGCGAGTGCGGAAGTCAACGAAAACCCAGACATCGGACTGTCTGGCTGAATTAGTCTTAGAAGAAGGGTGTACATCCGAATCCCCCTAAGCGGACTTCCCAAATGGCGCCCTGGCTATGCCAATCTTTGCCACGTGTTTCGAACAAATCCTTCCCGCTTGGCATTGAGCTTCCTGAATCAACCTCACGGGAGTCTCACCGTCGGTGAGTCCTCATGCAGGCAGCCCATCCTCAAACAAAGCTCGAGTGGCTTGAACCTGTGCGAACATGCCGTGCTCATCCTCATGCAGCCATTCGCCTCTTCCTCCCATCAAGAGGAACCTTGGCTGCGGATGGAGCATTCAGTTTCGTGGAAGCGCCTCTGTAGAGCATGCATCAAAACCAACAATATGCACTATGGTGTCCAGTGTCCGGGAAGCAGTTGAATTGACCAACTCATGTGCCAGATGAGCACTTTCAGCTTCTCTTTGCTTCCATGACAAAGTGTTGTGGAAGGCGCATTCCAACATTCAGGCACGAACTGCTGCAAAGAACTCTTCGAGTCCTCCTTTACTCAGGAAGATGTCGCGACACCGAGATTCATTTGCTATAATATAATTGAAATTGAAGCTGAGATTCACCGTCTCTTTCAAGCAACAAATTTGATCTTTGTGCCTCTCGTCTTCTGTTCTATCAACATCTTGGATTTGGGCCGGACCAGCGGCGCAACGGAGCACTTGCGCAATGTTTTATGTCATGTGTGAAAAAGGAACAAGTCTGAGAAATGAGTCACGATCGAATTTGACCCAGCTAGGGTTCTGTTCGATTGGATGGTCCTTGCAAAGCTTCTACAAAGAGCCAAGGCTGCGTTCATGGGATACCACAAAAACATGCGACATCACATAGCACCGATGAAGACAAACAATTTTGACACATGGACCATGGAGAAAAATTGCTTTGCTGACTCCAGTTTACATTCTTAAAAACAGGTTGTATCGTGTATGTATCGTGTAACGACAGACACTACGACAGACCTCAACCATACCCACTTTGAAGGCCTGCCATCAAGTGCCACTCAAAAGTTAGGGTGAATCACCGTGACACTTTACTCTGACGGGTCGAGCAAACTTGCTGGGCCAAGCATCTGTAGTCGTGAACCCGCTGCTTGATCACCTATCACCCGGCAAAGATTGAGAAACATGAGAGACTAGAGAATGGCGCCTCAAGGTGCCTGTGGGTGGTAGATGAGGGTCTTATTGAAACACAGTGGGGAGGATCTTCGGAGGTGAAGTGATCAAAACCTGGGTCGCCCACTCTTGGGCCATTCGTGTTGCGTCGCTCGCACGCGCACATTCACCTTCCTCCGCACTCCTTTCACTTCCAGAAACAGGCCCTCGCCACGTGCACAGGGCACTCTTGTCCTGTGACATCGCCACTGGCCGACACATGTTCTGCCTCCACTTGCCTTCATGTAGACACGGCGTTCCAGCGTTGGATTCATACAGCTGACACCTGTCTCTTTGTTTTGTCTCTTCACTTGCTTTGGCATGAAGCGTTTCAAAGAGCCCCAAGCTCCATCAATTCCCTGAGTGCCTGCAACCTTTGCTCTTGTCCCGTGCAGGAACTGGAACGGACCAAGTGAGAGGCCATTGCGATCAGGGTCCAAGGTGCAGCACAAGGTGAAGGCCACAACGGGATCTCAAAGGAAACCGTTTGGAGGAAAGAGACGAAGAATGCTAAGGTAAGAGACCTCTCTCAGCGACAAAAGACCAGACACGATCAAACGGAGGAGGGGGTCAAGGACCAAACGCAACAAAGTCACCCACAAAAAGGGACCGCAACGCGTCGAGAGTCTCATGGGGGAAAGGAACTGTGAGCCAATGTGCATCAATGTGCAGGAAGGACGGCATGCCCGTCTTCCGCAAAAAAACAAAAGTACCCTCTACTGCAATGGATAAAATTGCCACTCCCACCCTTTACCCCCGGAAACCACCCATATGGAATGGTTCATTGGTTTTTGTCATTTCAGGCCAATTTCAGGCACAGGCGCGTGAAGGCGTTATGGGCAACTATCCATGTTCAGTGCTTTCTGCAATGAATAGACGTGGGTGAAATCTTGGAAAGCGTCCCCTTAGCCAAGAAGCTATACTGTACCTATATATACTTTCAGAAAACGGACACCCCAAAAGCAAGATCTTGAAAACAAACATTGCTCCTTCACTTGTATCCATCCCAGTCGCCGTGATGCAAGAGCCATCTCGCACGCCCAGTTGTGACATAGTCGAAGAGAGTTTCTGCTGGTTGATTCTGGCAACTCCAACCAGTAGGAGCCTAACTTTTTAGGGCTTCACGCCCAGCTAATTGCACGGTTCTCCCAGGATCCAGCCAGTCACCGGCTGGGGAAAAAAGACTGGGATGGTCATGGGTCTGTCATCTTTGCAAGAAAACACATCCAAGTCATTCTCTTTCAGAATTCCTTTCAATGTTTGGGCCTATTCACCTGACTGGTCTTGACATCTTGACTCGTACCTATTCACCTGAGCTTTTCCAGCTCGGGAGTAAAAACAGCCTGTGGATTAGAATGGTCCTGCCGGTTGAACGAGCCTGGGCCTCTCAAAGAAGGCAACTAGACAGGGTGACCACCCCAAAAACATCGGATAGCCGAATCAGCAATGAGAGGAAGCTGTTTGTAGCAACTACTATGGAGGTTAACAGCAAAGGTGGAGGTGTTTGCCCCCAAGTGAGGATCTGCAGGCATTTGATCATCCAACATCAGATCAGACCAAGCTTGATTGCTGCCAACATTGCAAGGCTGCTTCAACAGGACTGACGGTGATCATGGCAAGGTGGCTTGTTGGCAAGCACTCCAACAGAATGAGCCATTAATGATGTCCTGCACTACCTGCACCTTTCTAAAACATTCTGTGATGCCTAATCTTCTTTCACCAACGCCTTCGTGTAAGGAAGTCTCTACCCAATATACCAAAATAACTATATCTTTCTTCTAGCTGTCATCAAAACCTCCTCCTCAAATCACCGAACGCATATCAACAAATGGTCATATAGAGAATGTGTCGATAGGCCAGGAAGCTCCATTCCAAGGGCCTCGTCGATAATCGAATGCTTTACCAGCAAACTCTTGAAGTCTTTGAGGGTGCAGTCCTGGACTTGGGGTTTCGCGCAGTTGCTGCAAGCTGGCTTGAATTCCAGGGGAGCGAAACACACACATATATATATAATTGTATAAATCAACTGATTCAAATGATGCCAGGCTCATCCGCCATGTTCGGATTATGCCATGCATGACTCCTTTGCCTATCCTAGCAGTCCTTGCATCTGTGTTCGCAAGAAGCTGCCCTGGGGGCTGGTGGGGCCTTGTATCCGAATGAGAGATTCTTTGGAGCTACAGGCCACACGTGCTCAAGATACCTATATATATATATATACTACCTATCCTCCCTCCATCCCTCTTGAGAACCCAGCTTCTGATAGCAACTTCCAACTCCTCCGCCTAGTACGTCCAAAGGAAAACCAACCGATCCGAAGCCCTAAGCTTGAAACTTTCCTCCAAAGGTTCCAACCCGCCAACAACCGCCATCCACACGGGGCTCACCCCCGCCCGGCGTTTTCAGGGCCTCCAGGACGTTCAAGGTTAGCTCTTCTCCCGAGAGTCGCATAATCTTCACCTCCATGATGCCTCAGGTGTCAAAGGAGCGGTGGTGGTTCGACAGGTGTTCGACAGGTGTCCCAATCCTGGTCTTGCAATTTGAAAGTGATAAAGATTGATAAAGTAAGTTTTTGTCTGTCTAAGTAGCCGCACCCTCCACTGTCCACACTGCGGGGGGCCAAAAGCATCAAGAGAAACTCTTGCACTGATAGCAACGCAGGGGCCAAACATCGAACTTGTCAACATTCGGGTTGACGCAGGTGTCGTTAGGTGCCTTTTCTTCAACAAGCTTTCTTTTGAGTTAGTAACTAGTAGCGATGGCCTCCAATATGTCTTATAAACAGGTGCTGCTCCGCTTCCATCCAAGGGAGTGTACTTACCTCTGTCCGACATCGTCTTCGACCGACGGACCGTTCGCCTTTCGATCCGTTCGCCTCCTTGTCATCGCCAGTTGGGGAACCTCAAGGACGCTTGATGCGGGGCAACAAGGAGTGATGGGCACCTGTGGATGGCGTGGAGTCTTGTAGTACTCCATCCGTCCACATGAGGTTCTAGGCCGTATCTCATTCATAATTACATGTCTGACGTGACTTGATTCGCTGATCAATTCAGTTTATGCATGCTGCATACATGACAACATAACTTGTGTCTTACAAATGTGGCAGGGCTTCACCATGGGCCTGCTAACACTGGGAGTACCGGAGAAACATGAGCTGAGCATAGCCGTTTTCTAAAAGCCCCACTAAATCTAAGCCTTCTCCCATTCATTTAGTGTCCCCAAACCTTCTGAAACCAATCCTTAAAAAGCAAACCGCGGCTCGCCACCAACCTGACCAAATGACTGAGAAAGGAGCACACGAGATCGGCGGCGAAGCCCAATCCATCACCATCCCAACTCTGACCGATTTGGATCGTACCGAATTCAACGAATCGCATGTACCGAGCCTCCGGTTGTGGTCGTTTCCGGCAACACCGAAGTGGTCTCTTTGACAGGCTCCATGGCGCCGAAGTGAGGAGGGCAGGAAGTTGGGTACCTGATTTTTCATTGCATTCTCCTGCATCAGCCAGACATAGCCAGACAAACAATACCCAAACACGGCATGTACCTCTGAGATGGACATCAAAGAGTGGTTTCTTGCAAAGAAGGATTGCTCCATTCTGCTAGAATAGATTATGTGAGCATCCACTGGTGCACTGGTGTCAACGTGATAACCACGCAGCTTCGTCTTGATATGCTGAAAGGCGAAGGCTACTGGCTCTCCTGCTCTGCAAAGAAGCTCTGCAATAAATAAAGAGGCTCAGCTCTGCTTTCTTCGGATTTGGAAACTCAACTGAGTCAACTCTTCACATGTAGAAAAAACACAACGGCTTGAGCTGGGGGTCTCCCGCCGTCCAATCGAGGTCGGTGAGCATGTGGTCTTGGGACTTGTTAGTGAAACGCCCGGTGTCTTTCAACCCCAGTTCGATGCCTTTTCCTTGATGTCGGAATTCCTCTGCTCCACGGTCTCCTCGGACAATCAACGGCCAATTCAAGTCGCACCATCAAAATCATCAAAAAGGAACAAACATCCAATGCGACTTCATGGTGCTTGAAACTGGCTTAAGAGAACCATCCCCGGCCTCCTGTTTCTCCAAACTCATAGGAACACACACGAACAGATCAAGTATCCTTCAAAGCCAAAACTTGAACTTGTGATGGTTTCGAGTTACAATTTTTGCGGAAAAACAATAAGAAAAAACACAACTCATGGGAAAAGCCTTTATCATCTGTTGTTCCCTCGCTCTTCTTCGACCTCCCTCCAAATCGCTACCAAGAGAGATATGTAATCTGAATTCACTCATATATGCAAAACAATGCCCAAAAACACGGATGAACTGCACCATTTTTCATGCGCGACCAGCTCTCCCCTGCAACCAAATTTGCCAAGGTCGGCACCCGGTCATGTGCCAACCTCAACTCCTGGCGCAGGGAGACGAGGACGGGTCGCTTTTCAATAGGATTATAACGATTCTAGTCCTATGCCAAATGTGCGGCATCTTGGAAAGACGTTCACCAAGATGAGTGGCGATGTTGGTTTTAACCAAGACCGCCAAGAGCATTTAGTGGTTGATAGATGTTGGTAGTAGTCGAAAGTTGGCGATCCATTCCGTGGGTAAACATGCGCTCTGCATCTGCGCTCTCACGATTTCCCCTCTCCAATGGGTCTTGCTGGTTTACCTGGCATAAACCTAGCACCTCTTGCACCCACACTGCAATAGTGATTCGAGCATATTCGAGCAGAGAATCACATTGACCTCTTTCCTGCATCAATCGCGAGGCCATCGCAGTGTGCACGCTTGGACGCTGATCCACATCGCTGGCCTCAGCGCTGATCCGACATGTTTCGGGTCCCCCTCCCCCAAAAGCCTCTTTTTTCGGTGTCCTAATGTTTCGTGTAGATTATAGTTTTTACGTCTGGTTGTTGGATACAGCAATCCTTCTACATCTGACCTCACATTCTGAGAGTTGCTTCAGGTATACATATAATTACATATACATATACAATACCATGAATGTTCTTCAACGAGTGCCTTTTGGATGCATTCGATTGGCGAATCACCTGGGCACCGTAAATCACGACCCACCGTGCGACGCCGCTCCGCCTCCGAGAGGTCCACGACGGAACTCTCCGGCGTGTACTGCGAGGGTGACAGGCGGACGGGTGAGGACGCGGGAACCGGGTTAGGACGGGTGTCTGGGGGAAAAGCCACCAAAACAAGAACAACTCGTGGAAGAAATGGATCAAGGATGAAGAACAAGAGAATACAAAACACATGAATTTGATTGGATTTGGTTGTTTTGTCAAGCATTGTCAAGCATAGAATGTTAGGTATTGGTGACAAGCTCTGCACAACCTGGAAATTCCAAGGTTGTGTTTTTGTCTTTTTCGCAGCACCCGTCTCCATATTTGGTCCGTGACCAGTCTTCCCGATATGTCAACATGACACAGTATCGCATGCAGGGGATTGAAACCGGTGGCATGATTTTACCACTGGCAGCAAAGGCCAGCCAGTCAATCATTGTTAAAGCAGCCGTCATCAATAGACCCGAACCCAAGCAACTGTCATCGATTGTTTAACATACTCCCAACCCCATATATAATGACCTAGCCGAACTCTGGTACAGTTTGGAGAGTTCCTCACAGCTTCAGTGACTGATGAAGGATTGAGAGGACAAGTTCATAAAGTGTGCAAGTTCAGCCAGTTTTGAGCCTCAAACGCGCCAGTTTATGTAAATGTGTTCTTTCCATTCAGGGCCGGCAAAGGCCACATCTTCGTCAAACGGCAGCTGCGTGATCTTCGCCCAGCAGCTGAAATCACTGTGCTAGATTTCGGTGCAGACTGTCAGGCATTCCATCTGTCAAGATTCTAAACCTTCACTGCAGTTCCCTAGGCCCTAGACAGACCAGCCATTTACGAAAGCTCTCCTGAAAGAGCAAGTGCCACGGTTTTTGTTTGGATTCGGGTAAAGGACGCACGAGAGATTTCAATCCCATTGAATTCCCGGGCTCCGGCATTGTCTGGCATGTCCCATTGCTCCCACCACATCTCCTGTTTGTGGAGTGGAACGTGGTCAGCACCGGCATGGCTAGGCGATTTGCCATGGCTGGGCGATTTGCCTTGCCAGGACATGCCAGTTGAGCATGGCGACCATGCTTATTGGAAAGGTCTTGCCTAGACACACGGTTGGGTCAGTGGAGGACCCTAGACATGGTAAGGCTGCAGTTGCACGTTCCTATGCCTTCAGCGGATAGCTAAAGATTTCACATCCTCAAACAAGACCTGACTGTTGTTCTTATGATTTTTTCTGGCACCTGGAAACACAACACCAAGTCAAAACAATTAAACATAGAGTCTCTCAACTCTGGACCGCGCAACAGCAAAGGCCGGCCCATCTCATCAATTTGACACAGTGAATGACCTCAAACAAGCTCCCCATTCCACATCTTTCATCTCATGGATGGCAAAAGACTCCTGTTTTTGTTGTGCACTCTGACAAATTAGGATATGCACTGGAGGACTGGAGGGCCTTGACGGAGAACGTCCAAGAGCTGTCCGCTGGAAGCACCTGCCGCTGGAAGGTGCTGAAGCAGGTGGGGAGCCCATCCTTACATTCCCCCACACCACGACAGCAAGGGCGAGCAAATCGGTTACGCTTCGACCAAAAAACAACGACATCCTAACCTAAGAGCGATGGCCTCCAGTCAGCATAAATTCTAAACTCCACGAAACTCCCAACATACAGTAAGACTTTGCGCTTTTGACATGTTCCTGTTCGATCCGCTTCTGACATGCAACCTGGAATCAACATAATTACTCTTGCTGAACCTAGCCTCCAATGTTAGAGAGAGCATTTGTTGCAATATCGTTAAGTTTTCCTAAAAATCTAGGAACCAAGTGATTAGTGAGAGCGCTTCTTCAACGAAGCTCCCCTGCCCTCAGGCGTCCAGTTGCTAGAAACTATTTTACTAGTAGCTAGGAGAGAACTACTCCCTTGCTGAATTAATCTTAATTAAGTAGGCGCCTACTTAATGAAGTAGGGAGGCGGGGCCTCGGGCTAAAACTAGCGAGCTGAGCATCGTTCCAAGTTCCCTCGCCTTTTGAGAGTGCGTCGCGGGCATTTTGCCGCAACTCTCGAAGCTTGGGGGTCTCTTCTGCAGGGCGGCCTGTGGCACATCACTGCACGAGGCAACGTGATGCCCCGCGGCGTTGGCTGGGCAACCCAAAAGCACACCCTAGGCCCCTGGGCCCAGAAGCCTTGCCATCCTGAAGACAAGGCACCAATTTTCATGTTGGATTGACATGGGACCTCCTCCCCCAAACTCACTCGAAAGAAGTGTCTGGAAGAAAACCTGGGGGACATCGAAAGTTCCTCGCGCTGCCCCACGGCCCCACGGCTGCCTGACGCCACCTCCAAGGCATGGGCCAAGTGTCCTGATTCAGCCGCCATGAGCATGGCCTGAGCGAGAAAACGAGGTCAGCTGCATCTGGTGGACCCAGAGTCCGTATCCGTGTGCCGCAAGAACATCTTGGAACTGATCTTCCGGATGGCCACGCATGGCCACGGTCTGTATCTTAGCAGTTTTTGAGATAACTCAAAATCACTTCAAAGCCATGCTGGGCTAGATTGGATCGTGCCGTCCTGGCACTTACTTGAGGAATTCTCCCGTACTGGTAGGAAGCGAACTTTTAGGGGAAGTCACCGTAATCAAAAGAAACACAGAAAAGAGGATTCTAAGACGATAAGAGGAATGTTCGGGACGAGAATGCAGGGTTGGAACGGCCATGCTGCAATTCGCGGGTTTGCCTTGCAGAAAAAGCGATGATACAAAAAGCATACGCGATCATACAAGCCTTTATAAACTGCAACATCTGCCGGCATCTTGGTGAGCTCTGATGGGACAAACCACTCACTCACAGGACTCACAGGACACACGTTCTACAGGACTTTTCTGGGTGCCTCGTGTCATGCTTGGAATCCCCGATCACTTCGATCACTTCGATGAGCGACCGTACAAGGCCCGATGCTTCTTTTAATTAGTAACAGAGGGCATGGCTACTAGGAACAAAGGACGCTACTAGAGGCTCCTGGCATCGCTACTAGGAGCAAGAAGCTACCAGTTCTACCAGAACATTCGGCCAATACCGGCCAATTGCCGAAAGCCCTGTCGAAACCGCCTGGTTTCATCGGGCCTCTCGAGTGACGTGGCGCAGGGTCTCCAAGTCGCCTGAGCGGGTCGCTGCGCGGGGACCTTTCGCCTTTCGCCCGACTTCTGAAGACGTAGGGGTAATTGGGCGACCTCAGGTGTTTTGGAAATCCGAAGTTGGACATTCATAAGCCACAGGCTTAGTCACTTTATGGACTGGACTGTCGCTAGCCTTCAAGATTTACATCGGATTCTTCACCACCCACTGTGGCTGCACAATCCCGGCTTTTGACACTCGAGCTTCGATACCTTGCGAAGCTTCAGCCAGAGTTTTGGCCCCATCCCAGTTTTCATGGACGAAATGCTGCACAACGGTGTGACCATGGTTGGCCAAGGTACAATCGCGAACACCAGGGTAGCAATCAACAACAGCCCTAGAACTAGAATCTAGACACGGGATCAATCTCTTCATGAGGAGAGATCCATAGGGAAGGGAAGGGCAACAGGACATAACAGGACCATAGGAAGAGGAATTGGTGAAATTACAGGTATAGTGAAGAAAGGAAAAAGAGGCACTTAGTATTGCAAGAACATTGGCCGAAGAAGGTAGGCAAAAATGGCAATTGGGGAGGGATACTGGGTAATTACCCAATCTGCAACATTACAATTGGCCCAAAGGCTCTTTTTTGAGAAACATGGTCAGTACTGCAGGAACAAGATGGGCCGAAATACGTTCTAGGCGTGTTCCTCAATTGTGTGATCCCATAATTATAAATACAGCAAGGATGTTCTGCGAATAGAATAGACTCAGACTGGGAAGCAAAATGCAGGACAATTGCGAGCGTGAGACCAACATAGCAATCACCTAGACGGAGTAAACTCGTGTTCCAAAAGGTTCCAAACTCCTTTTGGGGACTTTTTTTCAGTGTCCACTGCCGAAGAACGCTCCTGAAGAACCCTTCAATTCAGGAACCCGAGCCTTCTTGTTGAACACAAGAACGTAGAGCTTCATGCAAGTGTCCTGCATCAGCCGCCTCCACCACCTTGGAAATTCACAGGCACGGGGTGGTTTCAAGACCAGCTAATCAGCTAAGCCGGGCCCCGGGGTGAAACGTTTTGCATCCAACATGTACAGGTTGATTGAGCATGGGGAATTACCCATTGGGTACCATCTTAAATACTAACTAATGCTACCTCTGCATACAGACCCTAGCTGCGTCAAACACCCCGGTTAAATCTACATGATAGTTTTGTCTCTGACTCATATGCCACTGACAGCTGCAACAGAACAACATTATTTCACAGCTCCACCTCTGCCGCTGGGCTCTGGGCCATATCTCGGGTGTCCCTCCGCATCTGCCCCAACTCACGGCACTTGCTGGCCAGTTGGAGGGCCTCCAAGAGCCTGACCCCAGGGAGTGGACTGACGAAATCGACGTTTTGTGGAAGGACATGAAATCGAATGAAGGAAGACAACGGAAACACGAGACAATACTGCACATGGTGAGATGTCAACTCTCCGAGTGGAGGATTTCTGGGACTTCTTGGTTTGGCATCAAATGTGGCGAAACCAGGAGACACATACATGTCCTGGCACCATGGGGTGCCACCCTTCTCCCCAAAAAAGGTGAAACATGAGTCAACTTGGCTTGGCAAAACCCAAACATCTTTCAAAAGTAAATAACTTTAGTATAGCCATGTAAATACCAGGCTAAACATCATTCCAAAGTATATATATATAATTACCTAGACCTAGTATAGCTATGCTATAGATGCCGCAGTCTCGGCTGTCACCTGTCGCCACGCACCTGCCCGAGTCGGCCGCTGTCACCAAGGAGTTCACGGCGTGTTGTCCTGATTTCGGCCGAGTCGGTCAGGGAGTGATTTGGATCAATAAATGGATAAATCATTGAATCATTGACCCCAAATGAGACTGTGGCACATCGGAATCTCTCAGACATCACCGGCAAACATTCTGATGTCCTGAAAAGACATCTGAACACCTTGATGTGAAGATTGCTCTCTATACCTTTCGGCCTGTCTCAATCTTCCTCCATATGTATTTGAGTCTATACTTTAGATTGAGGGAAGAAAACAAGAACCATAAATCCATGTTCATGGACTCCAGGTGCTGCCTGATGCTCACACTCATACTAGCCTTGCACCCTGGCAGCACCCTTACACGGTGCCCAAACATCACCGAAGCCCTTCGAGCCAAGATCTTTTGACTCATCCATTCACAAGCCTTTTGAGAGAACACCACAACTGCAAGAACTGCAAACGTGAGTGTGCGGACTGAAACACCGAAGGACGCTAAGGTGCAGAAAGCATCTAGAAGCAGCAAAAGGGGCTAGTTCAATTGGTGAGACAAACGAACAAGAAACCACGCATCATCCTATCCACTCAATGTCCCAGGGCTGTCTCCGCATTGAGACCAAGGTTGTCCATGGCTCAAGTCTACTTTTCCGGATATATGTGCTTTGTGGACGATAGGACCTCCGTGAACCACACGAAAAAGACACACTGACTGAAGAACCCGCCACAGCTTCGTGCTATGCACAACTCTTGGAGCGCTTCGGAGCCCTTCGTATACCGAGCGTCGGATTTGCTCCAAGTCCGGGCGAAGCTCTTGGAGCGCGGTGAGCAGCTGCCCGGAGCGCGAGGCCTAAGGAGTCCGAAAAATGTTTATGGTGATCTCAGTTAAAAGAAGTGACATGCAGAAAGACATCCAAAAAGAATACATGTTGAAACCATAACCAACCCTGACTTGGAAGGCAATATTTTTATAGCCAAAAAAGGTCAAACAACTTTGTGGGGTTGCACATGGACGGACTCTTGGATTTAATATGATTTTTGGAAAGTTGATCTGTGGTTCTGGGCGCATGCGTTTGGCACAGGAAGGCATGGTATGAAGCACATCTTGGGTAGCTGGACATGCTGGTTTTCACGACATGAGACATGGTCGTTGTGGCGGGGTTTCGGCCGCATCGGCCCTCATCAATGTTCTTCTCACATGGGTGTTTTCACGAGCCCGGATTTTGAGACCGCTAAATGTGCGCACGATGTGCCATCCATCAAACATAAAGCTCCCAGGGTCCTATGGTCCTAAACCAAATAATCCTGTCCACCTATAAAAAAACACGGGGTCCCCCCCCTGAGAAGGAAACCTTGGTCGCATTTTTTGAATAGAGGGCCCCTGAAATTGGGGTTGTCCAAAATAGGGTCCGTGGAAGGATCCTGACCACTACCACTACCACTACTAACTACTACTACTATCACCACCACCACCACCACCACTACTAGGTCAAGAGGGAGTTTTTGGGGAACCAACCGTAAACTAAATAAAACACACCAAAAATTGGCAATGTTGGTAGTTCAGTAGCGTTTTGAAAGGGCGGTAATTTAACAACAAATATAAACCGTATTTAGGGGGCTCCGACATGACTGTTCTTTTTTAATTTGGGGTCCGTGAACTAAATAGGTACTTGGGATTACACACGTGGCATGGCAGTGCACAAAGTGTTTCTCATCTGACCTTGTTGGATCCAAGTGTCTGACCCAAGGGTCCAAGTCTCACATGGTCTCCCTGCACAACCGAAATTCAAGCCTATCTATTCCCAGACTTCATTTGCGACGGTACAACACAAAGGAGGAACCGATGAAAGACCCTGGCTGATGCCCAAAAGAACAACCACCAGGACCATGCATTTGCCTTATGGATGAAAACTCCGGCCAAAGGCCAGGCAGGGGCATGAGCAATAAGCTCTATCTTGCGCCATATACTCTCCCCAAAACTATCATGGAAGTGGAATACAGCCTATTCATAGAGGAACATTGCATTCCTTTCAGGGCCATGTTCCACTTCCATGGAGGGTATTTTCCGAAAAAAAACAAAGGGGATCCACGACTCCGATCGCATGGAGCAGCCGGGTCCCGGATCACCCGGATCGCCCGGTCCGACTCCGTCCCTCGCCTCAAGGATCTCGTCTTGGGCCTTTGATGCTGCGTGGCGCTGCAACAGGTTCCAGAGCTCCCCACTGGCAGCGCCCTCTGAGAGTGCCTGGACCGACAGACTCGTCTGGGATCGAGCTCACCAGGGTGATACAAAGAAGCGTCCAATCTGCGAGCTGCCATGTTGGATCTGAACTTGTAACTTGTCCAATAGGTGCAAGCGAGATGAGACTTTCTTCCAAAACATTGTGGTTTGTGCAACGTTTCAATTGGGTCCATTGGTCATCACCCAGGATGCCAGGGGAAGGACCCGGTGCCTGAATCCTGCTGCCTCTCAAGTTGACCTTGAAACACAAATCAACACTTTTAGATACTTTAAGATACTTTGAGAGATCAGACATACACAACATGAGTCAAACACGAAGCCAATACCAAGACCATGCCAGAATGAAGACGCCGATGCCCGATGCTGCCGCACCTCTTGCGCCTTCTGCCGCAACTTTTCGAGCTGTTCAGGCAGGACCTAGCATTCGAATCCCGGATCGGCACCACAAAGAAGTCCCTTGAACACTTCTGAGCATGTGGATATCGGCCCAAATTGAGACCCCAAACGAACCTTTGCGGGGGTTTGGAGGCTCCCGCAGGGCCAGTAGTGAGCGGGCGTCGCTATGCCAATAGACAAGTGCGCATAGGCGCATAGCCCAACCTCCCTCCTTTCTTGGGCCATCACCTTGTCAGCTGCTTGCGCGGGTGAGTCCACAGTGACTGGACACTCGATGATTGAGGCATCAGGCTCTAGCACCTGGAAAGCACACAAGTTCACAAAACACAGCTTGGCTCAGCTTGGCATCATCTAGTCGAAAGAAACTGTACACAAGCAAGTGACTAGATGATGCCAAGCTCAGCTAGGCACAGTGACTAGTCCACAGTGCCAAACTGGCTTCATCTAGGCTCAGCTTGGCATCACTTGTGCTTGTTCTTACCAAACATCACAAGTGCCCAAAGTGCCCAAACCATCTCGGCTCTGCTCGATGCCTCTGCTGGCTGGGCGGGTGGCATCGGCTCCTGAGAGAGGGCAACGGTGGAGATGTAAGAACACATATACTGTATAGAAACATATAGAAACTATCAAACACTGCAAACATCAAAGGTTAGTGGAAAAAGGTCTTGACAAAGACCCGTTGTCATGAGCGAGCCAAACCGAGGAGACGAAGTCGTATACAGGCACCTTGGTGCTGAATGCAAGTGACTGCTTGGCTTCATGCTGGAGTTGCCCTTAGTTGTAGGAACACACTCCTGATTGAGACAAGTAGACACACAAATTCAACAGCCTTTCTCAACCACATCTCCTGCCATTGCCATTGAGATCAATCACTTCGGGCTGAAGCAACAATTGACAATCACCCCAGCCAGCCAATTGCAAAGGCCTTGCACCCTTACCATTACCCCACGGCAAATCCGAGCTTGGGCAATCGCCCTCTCTGGAGCCGGTGCATGAGAATGTACGGCAGGTTGCTGGGAGGGCTGAGATGAAGGACATCTTGAACACTTTAAAGACTTTAAGTGTTTTTTTGTTTCTTCTCCGCCAGTGTTTAGTGGTTGACAAAAGAACGTGATAGTGATAGCTACAGCTACTGTTCCAGAGAGTCGGCGAACAAGCATTGAAACACACGGTGCATGGTAAGCTACCTTCATGGTGCTAAAGGTACTAAAGGATCTTCTATCTACAGTAATTGCTTTCTGCTACACCTACCGTGATCTTCAGTAACCTGTGCGGCCCTCTCTCACAATGTCCCAAAAAGTAGTGAGTTCTCATTATCATGACTCTTCTTTACCATGATCATCCATGATCAATGCTCTCTAAGTAGTCTGTGTCCTGAAACATATCCTTTCTTGACTGATGTTCTCTTTCCAAAACTCTGGTCATGCCCTCCTTGGCTGCTTCTACTTTCACCTCTGTCTTCGGCTCCTGGCTGTGCCAAACTCAAATCCTGAAATCCCTGTGGTGAACATCTGAAAACAATTGAAAACACAGCCAACCATGCCAATTTGTGTGTTGACGACGCCAATTATGCATATGCCATCCCTATGCATCCCGATGCAATCCCTATGCATATCTGACGCATCGCGTCCTTGCCCGACATGGTGTGCAGCCCAGTGGTTTTCGCCTCGCTTGAAGGGCGAAAAGGTCTACTGCTCTTAGTCCTTGGCCTTCAAAACAGAGTCGCTATCAATTGCTTGCAAACATCACCCCTTCTTTCAGATGGGGTGTCTAATGTTTGCTACGTTGATAGGTCCAACGCTGTAAAAAGACATCAAAGTAACATTCCCAATGTGAAAATACTTGTGGGAGTCGTGGAAGTGATCGACTTTCAACTACATACATCATCATACGCCCTTGGAGGCACCCGATGCTCGATGCCTACCCCCACCTTGGCCAGTTTCAGGTCCTCTTCCTGTGAGCTGGCCACACTGATGGCCTCGGAGCGAAGATCGGTGGCGATGGGAAAAAGAGCGATGCGCATAGCGCTTGCGCAAGAGATGGCGCAACCTCCGTGTTCCACGATTGTGCAAACCTGAGTGGATCATTTGGCAGGAGCATCCGGCGGTATCTGGCGTAGTTATTATCTCCCGGCAGGACCAGTCTTTTTGGGAGTAGCCAGCAAAAACTCCGGTCTACTGGTCAACGGTCTGTCAGTTTCTATGTTAGCTTAAGTACCTGGCAGGTTGCCTCTCTTCAACTTCACAGACTATTCAAAATGGTGGCCTCCTGTACTCTAAAGGCCTTTGAGGAGTCATACGCAAGTGATTAGAGTCACCATTCCAATCCCCTGAATTGCCTGGGACTCTGTCAACCTTGATCCTGGTCCTATCAGTTTTCGAAGCACAAGCCTCTTGGCCAAGCACCCGGGCGTCCAAGGGGCCCGTGGGCTCCTGACGGCGAACAATGGATCCAGTGAGCGGGACACCCGGCACCCCTTCCTTTCCAACAAGTGAATGCAGTCAAGAAACGCTGATGATCTCTGTGCAAAAACATTGAGAAACCAACAGGGTAACATCAATGCAACATCCTTTGGCTACCAATGATCCATATCATATAGTTCGCTCCACAACTGTTGACAACACAGGTTGCAACAAACAGCTTGTCGACAATACTACAGTAGAAGATCCGAGCAAGACCGCTTGAGGTGCTCTCAGTCATGTGCTATGGTCTGAAGTTTCAGTTTCATCAATATCCACCAATGGTGTGAACACAACAAATGCCCTACAAGACCGGCTGTTGATACTGTTGATACTCCCAATTTTGTGGTCTCGACATTGATTGGATCCACCGATCTATATACCGAACCCGATACGTCGGTCTTCGAAAGTTCGGGTCGATAGAACTTGATACATCGACACCAGCAGATGGCCACCAACAAGTCGTTTCTTTCTCTCTTTTTAGGCCACACTCTGCCCCTCTATACTACTTAATTGAGTCGAGATCGCCTACTTAATTAAGAGGGGGCTAAGTCCGCTAAGTTAGCCACTTGGACGCAGTATAGCTCACGCTTCTTCTTCAAGGAAGCTCCCCCGCCTGAGGGCGGGGGGAGCTTGCTGGAGGAAGTGCTCACACTATTCACTATTCGTGTGGTTCCTAGATTTTTACGGAAGCTTAACTTTGATTGCTTCTTCGTTGTCATGCCGTATTCGGGGATCGCTTGAGACACGGTGGCTCAACGGTTGACAAGAAAGAGAGGAAAGCAAAGGCACAATTTGCAGTTCTTCCAAGTGCATCTGTTTTTGTCGCTTCGCCAGAAGGAAGAAACTACTGAAAGGTCCATCGGAATCAGAAAATACCGTGGTTTCAGAGTAGATGGCAGATGGCACAACCCCAAAGATGTCGTTTATATGGGGGTCCTTATAAACCACCGACATTGGGGTCACCACCATGCCATCGAGCCTCTGATGGCCCACTGGCGCCCTTTCCGGTCCACTTCGACAGAATCCTCGAGTCACTTCGTAGTCCTTTGTATCCATCCCATCAATGCCATGGTTCGAACCATATCTCTTGGTCATTGGCTGTCTTGGGGTTCGGATGGGTTCGGGTACGGCACAAAGACTCCAATGACCAATGAAACTGACTCCTGTGGGCCCTGTCTTCTGCCAAAAGGGAAAACAACAACAATGAGTTCACCCGGTCACCCCTGTGGACACCTCATTTGTCATTTGATGTCTGGTACCGGATGAAAGGGCATCCCATCTCCCAAAGCCCTGCCTCTTCCAAGATCGGCTCGTCCACAGACACTCGCGCCTGCAAGACTTGGTTGAAAACACCCCAAATCATCCGAATCCACATCCTGTTTGTGGAATTTTCGGAGAAAGGTTGAAGAGATAGTTAAGCCAATGTATGGGCCTTGAATGTAAGCCATACTCATGTCTCCAAATCAGGAGTCTCCCAAACTGCTTTGCAGCTACTTTCGCTCCAAAACAACAAGCGGCCAAAGGTTCTTTGTGGCGGTTTGGATACAAAGGACTCCAATAATGGATGCCATGCAATTATGGACTCCTTGCACAGTCTCACGATCTGATTCAAACTGCTTGCCACGCAAGGAAATTGATCTTCTCAAACTGTCCAGCTACCCATTCTCCACCTTTGCCAAGCGGGCTTCTCCCTCCTTCACTTCCGATGCAGCCTCGCATGCAGCGGAGATCATCGGGCACACCGGCAACCGTGGGCTAGCTAAAAACCATAAAGATCATAAAGACTAGCTAAGCTATGGTTCATCCTGTATGCTAAGCTAGGGCAGCTAGGGCAGCAATGCCTTTGACCTCACACAAGACTTTTTGGACAACTCTGGCGGCCGGAGGTCGATATATGCGTTAGCAGGGACAACCTATCAATCGGCATAGCTTCATTGATTTCATTTTGATGAAACCGAATAACTGCGGCCCTCCCGACCAGGTGTGAACGGGTACCACTGCTAGCTTCAGACATCTATGCGCTGCAGGAAACGTCATAGATTCTCAAGCGCCTCCCTCACCGTGTTTTTTTTCCTGAGTTCGCTCAGTTCCTATGTGAGTGACTCTGCGGATTGCTTCAAAGCACCCAAAGGCGGCAGCAAGGTCTTGGTTGGCCAATTCTTGTTTGGTAAGTTGGAGACTTTATGCAACGTTCAGAAGGAACTGGCTCCTTAGAAAGAGCTGAGCACACCTGCTTCTTGGATGCAATCCAAGGGACAGAATTGCTGCGCTATCGCTCAATTGCCAAAAGAACTGGTTCAAACTGTTTGTCTTCCCTGCGTCTTCCCTCTCTAAAATCCAATGGTCTGTCGTCTCTCATGTGTCTGGACTGGCCTCCAGGGCTGATGTGCCAGTCCAGGCCTTCAAAGAAGGCACGCTGCCAAGGCAGAATCATCGATGCCCTTTGCTACTAGTAGCGTTCTTGTTCCTAGTAGTAAGGCCAGGAGCCCCTAGTAGCCTTCTTGTTCTTGTCCTTTTACTTTTGTGCCTGTCTAAATCCCTCCCCCTTTGCTTGCAACATGCCCTAGAGGACCCCAAGATACACGATTCATAAACTCATGCAAGGTGCTGCCCGCCAGGGGCTATTGGGGAAGGGATTGAACAAATCACAGACCTAGTCCGCGCCAGATCGATTCGAGCCTTCCCAAATACCAGGGACTTCTGGCTCAGTGAGCCCAACATCTATCGGATCTCATTTGTTCTCAACAAGAAACGAAGACTCCCTAGTACTGGCAGAAGGCCATCTTTCACGATTCAAGAGTAGTGATCGCTTTTTTCTTAGAATTCCTTACAGTCCTCATGGTAGTTAGAGATCTCTGCCACTACCCATGTAGAATATCCACCTGTATTCTCCAATGTTAAGGGGATGTGAGGCTTGCAAGCTTGCTGGCAGCATGCTGCCACTTCAAGATATGGCAGCATGCCTGCTTATGCGTGTCCTGTTCCAGTTGCTAGTGGCCCATAAGATGTCACAAAACTGATGTAGACTCCTGCAGGATCTACCAACAAGCACAGAAAACAGCAACTAGGATATCAATAATGCTATAAGCTGCTGAGTTCCCCAACTTCTTGCACCACCTTCGCCTGCATCTCGACAGATATGGCAGTGCGTATGACGCTATACATCAACGCTTTACAGCTAAAGCATGAGAAAGCTATGTAAGGCAAATATGTCAAAGGGCCCTCCCTACTTCAGGGCCCGCCCTACTTCAGCCTCCGGCGTCCTGGGTGCAGTCTTTCGCTTCACCACAAGGCTTGCCTAGGGCAACTGAGAGACTCGCATGAAGTCTGCGCTAGAACCAATGAGGACATGGGGCAGCATATTTAAGACGTTTCCGCAAGAAGCCTTGGGGTTCAAATGCCTACCAGGGGCCGGGCGGTGCGAGCGAAATTTGACCATGGAGTGCCATGTTGTGGAACCCATTTTGTCGGCAGCTGAACTGGGAGCTAGGATCTCGTTGGTGGTCCAGATCGAGTGGCAGGATCCCACAGGAATGGTTTTGGGTGAGACGGTTCACTTGAAACAGAAGGTTTGGATCCAGCATGAGCCTCTGCAGATGGACACCTTTCGGTATACATACATGGATGTTCTGGTCATCAAAGCTGGACATATTCCCACGGTTCAGATGGATGGAATGTCTTTCAGGTTTGCCCACAGAGCTATGACACCAGAGTCTTTGATGCAGGTAGTTGAAACTTGCACTGGCCTGGGGGCCCTTGGAAAGGGCGCAATGGATGCAGGCTTTTCCGTGAAGGTCCAGAATGAAGTTCGAAGCGAGATTTGTGACTTCCTAGAGTTGCAGCAAGGACCAGTCATTGTCCGTGGGGACATTGGGAATATAGAGACGGTGGCAACGATCATGAAGCATGCCCCTTCAGCTGGAATTCTGACTGCAGGTGTTTCTTGCCAACCATTTTCTCGCATGGGAGATCGTCGAGGAGAAGCAGATGCAAGGTCCAATTGCCTGCCGAAGGTGCTTGGGGCAGCATATTTGATGCAGACCCCCATCATTGTGCTGGAGTGCGTTGCTGAAGTGAAGAAATTCCCGGCTTTCGAGGAATGCATTAAGACCTTCTGTAGTGCCTCGGGCTTTCATTATGAGCATATTTTGCTTGAGCTAGGGGATGTTTGGGTGTCACGCCGACATAGGTGGTGGGGAGTCCTGACTCAGGGCAATTTTGGGGCCTTCAAGTTGTTTGACTGGAGTGGTGTCAAATCGAACCCTAGAGTTTCCTCGGTGCTTAACCATTTTGGGACAGTTCCACCTGATCATGCAAAGCAGCTCCAGCTCACGCTGTATGAGCTTCGTTCGATCCATGAGCTTGGGACGCTTCAAAAGTATGCTATTCGGCTTGACCAGCAGGCACCGACCGCAGTACATGCATGGGGGAGTCACTTTTATGGATGCAGGTGTGGCTGTCGGACATCTGGACTAGCTCTGGAACGATTTCAACGAGATGGTCTTCATGTACTGCTCATTCCCACGGGTGGTTACACAAAGCACATGAGGATGGAGCTACCCCACATGAGATACCCCTCAGCTGCAGAGTGTGCTTTGCTCAATGGGCTGTCTCCCAACATGCAGTGGGGCCAGGATGCAAGATTGGGACTTTGCTTGGTTGGCCAATTGGCCTCTCCTTTGCAGAGTGCTTGGGTGCTCACACACGTTCGACAGCATTTAGCTCAGAGAGGCCTGGTTCCTCCCAGTACTAGTGGCCCGCTTGATGTTCTTTCTCAGCAACGGACACGATTGATTGAGGAAGCCGAGCAAGGAGGGTTTTTCCAGTTTGAAAGGGCAGCTGACATTTTGACTTCCTCCATCGCTGTAGGTCCAGACCCAGATTCAAGGGAAGTTCACACTGCACCTTCCCAGACGAGATTTCTGGGCCATTTTCGAGGCGTTGTCAATGGGGTAGAGTATATGATTCCGATTCCCTTCAAAGCAGGTTGTCAGATTTGGCATTGGATTCAAGCTGAGTTGGCTTTCTATCCGGTTGAAACCAAGTTCTGCTGCACAAGAGAGAACGGGGATTTGGCCACATTGAATGAACCGTTGAGTGAAGCGACCAAGCTTCGCCTAGAGATCAGTGATGGAGACGGAGGTGGCCGAACTGACCTTTTCGAGCGTGATGACGTCACACATGCACCACCTTGTATCTCAGTCCCGCAAGACGTCAAGGAGATCAGAAGCAATGGTCCGCCTCTTGATACCAAGTTGAGTGAGCTGGAAGCAGGCGGGGCTCCTTGGGGAGATGATGAGATCGCTTGGCACCTTGCCCAGTTGGCGAAGGAAGCAGACTCTTTTGTTGCTTGGGTTGATCCATTGGTGACAGCGAGTGCAATCGTCCACGGTACTTCTTTGTTTCTGGTGGACGATGGACCATTTTTTCCGAGTTGAAGGATGGTTACTTTGCGTTCCCTTTGTTTCTGGCCATTGGCTGCCTCTGGTTGGATTTGTGGATGATGATCACGTCCATTTCTCCGTGTGGGACACGACCAACACACATTTCCCGGTGATTGAGAGATTGTTAGGTCCATTGACTCGATTGGTTGGGGCAACTGATTATTCGATCACCCAGTACCTGACGATAGCTACATCTCCACAGAGTTGTGGTCCAGATGCAATTGCGCACATCCACTTTGCGTTGCTTCGTTGTATGGCACCGACACCAAAGGCATTAGCACATGTGTCATCCCTTCGGCATCAAGCTTTCGTTCAACAACTGCGGCTAGATGGAACTTGTCAGGATGCCGTTCTGAAAGGGGCCGGTACACAACAGATTCCGGTGATGGAACAGATACAGAACATCCTGATCGAGCGAGGGGTAGGCGAGTCGGAAGCTTTGCATCGTGCCAGCACGGCAATGGATAGGATTGGCTTGAGCAAGCTCCAACAAGCGCTGAAATCGCCTTTTCCTTGGAGCCAGTTGAAAGTCTTGGGAAATCAGTGCAATCCCCCGATGCGATGGATTTTGGCACATGAATTGGAGGAACAAATTCAGCTGAAGGCCGCATCTGGAAAGGAGGTTGGCAACAGGGCAAAGCCTAAGAAGCAAAAGACTTCGGTGCAGAAGGTCAAGCTGCCCCCAAAGGTTTCGATTCGCCCGGATCAGATCTTTGTGGCGGACAACACATTTGTGGGTGTTAACATGGATGGGTCCACCGAAAGTCTCAAAGTGATTTCGATCAATACTTTGGGAGCTGAGGCCATGGGGGTCGCTTTGTGCATGCCTGACCAATGTCGACCTTATTTGAGCCTTCAGAAACCTTTGTCAAAGAAAGCCTTGGGATTGATAGTGGTGGGCGAACCCCGACCAGAACTCAGTGCCCCTCGGATTACGGAGGTGAGATTCCCGGCCAAGCGATTGGGTGGTATGGAACCACTCCTGGTGAACGCAGTCCTGGTTCAGATTGGTGATAGACCGGTGCAGAAGTACAAGCCTGACCATTGCATGAATTTGGACATTCTGCAAACTTGTGTGATGCGCTTTGCATTGTACAGGGATGAACATCCTGATGAGTGGAAGGTGGTCACTGATCGTCCCATTCGGCATCTCCAGGACTCATTTCCCCCACTCCAGATGTGCCTCCAGGAGAGTTGTGGATGTGGAAAATGGCATAGCAATGTGGAGCAGGTGGCATCTCCTTTGGTCGATATTTGGTCACGAACCTTTTTGACCAGTACTTTTCGTCAGACCAGACCACACGATGCTGAGCTGCTGAGATCTTCTCTGTCCTGACCCGTATTCCAAAGAAGTTGATGGAAGCTGCCATTCGCGCCTCAGGGACGCATGGTATCTATGTTGAGCCGCGAGCAGAAGATGTCCGTGAGGCCAGCCCGGAATTTCAGGTCATTTGGCTCCCCAAGCACAAGAAAGAGGAAGCTACGTTGTTGAGCAAGCAGATCGTGGAAGTCTTGGGTTTGGCTCGCTCAGGGGATAGGGTTGGCCTTCGAGTGCAGACGCTCCAGGCAGAGAAGGTTTCGAAGATTATTAGGCCAGAGGAGGTCTATGTGTCGGCCCTGGGCAGAACCATCCCCTATGGCACTCAGAGACAGGCCTTGGCGAAAGCTTTGAAGGAGTTCGGCTGGAATGCGAAGCCAGTTCAGGTTGTCCAATCTGGATTTTCGGTGCAGGGCTTGCATTGGTCGGTCCAGGCCACTGAGGACCCTCCAAGCACGGTCCTTCATTTTCGAGCGTCGGAGGCTATCATCACCTCGGTCAGTCATGATCCAGCTCATGTTCGGCAGGGCTTCAAATCTAGCAGTGCGACATCCTCTTCCGTGGTGGTCAAGCATGTGAAAACAGAGGTCCTCGCCCAGATTCCTGCCGCAGCTTCCACTGCACCTGCGGCAGATGTCGACATGACTGGGGCCAATACAGAGGCCAGGATAGTTGCCTTGGAGAAGAAGATGGCAGATCTAGCTTCTGCACAGGATCAGTTGCAAGCGTCCACCGCCAAGCAAGCTGCGGCAACGATACGCCAGTTGACTACGTTGAATTCCAAAGTTGATGAGCAGAAGGGTGAACTCAAGGCCATGTTTGATCAGCAGATGAACCAGATTGAGCAGCTTCTCTCCAAGCGGGCTCGCACCGACTGACTCATTGAGGGTCTTTGTCTATTTGTACAGATTTTGGGGGTACTTTGGTATCAGTTTGCTGCGTGGCTGGGGGCGGTTTCGTTTTCAAGCTGGATACATTCGGTGGGCAGTCAAGGCCGTCAGAGGTCTTGCAGGAAGGGTTCATCCTTTTCATGGTGGCACAGCAGTTTGTGGATTTTCTTGATGGTATGCAGGGTTGGGGAGGCATCCCATCCGGGTCCTGCGAGCGTTCAGTGGAAACTTGGTTTGATGAATCCTACGGGCCTACAAGGCAAAGAAACCCTTTTGCAGAATGTGGGCTCCGGCATTTTCGGGGTGACAGAGACACATCTGTCCATGATGGGAATTCAAAAGGTTCGACGAAGTTTGAGCTTTGCAAGATCACCTTTTACTGGCTTCATCCATGGTCAGCCCGCTCGTCTCAGGGCACACTCACAGATGGTAGGTAAACATGAGGGAGTTGCTTTCTTGACAAGCCACCCTGGCCGTGCTTTGCCGCATAATTTTCCAGAGGCAGTCTGGTCTACATCTCGGGTCCAGGTTGCGGGCTTTTGTGTGGAGGATGTGTGGGTGCAAGGAGGAATCATTTATGGTTTTGCATCGCAACAGAATGGTACGCCTCCTAAAGTCCTGACCGACCAATTGACCGATTTTGTTG